AAAAAACACGGTCGCTAGGGTTTTTTAGGCCGTAGTGTTTGCAGCTGTGTTTGGTCCGTCCTTTGGTGGCAGTGTCGGTCGAACACTTGTCTGAGGTTACAACTGCGACTTCCTTTCTGTCCCTTGGACCCTTAGTACAGCTCAGTAGGATAGACTCAAAATGTAATTAACATCTATATTTCAATGAAAAACAGCGAAGGAGGTGAGTAAGAGAAAGAAGAAGAGAATAAGCCAAAGAAAAAGAGAGACAAGGAGGAAGAAGATGATCACGATGATGACAAAGAAGAAGAAGACAAAGAGGAAGATGAAGACCACTACGACGACAACAAAGAAGGAGCTTTATGGCGCAAGTGAAATACCACTACTTTTAACCTTATTTTACTTATTTCATGAGGTGGGGCCAGGGCTTTGCCCGTGCTTCTCAATCCAAGGTGCAGACCCTTGTGGCCTGTCCCATCCAAGGGAAAGACATTGTCAGGTGGAAAGTTTGGCTAGGTAATAAGAAGGCACAAGAGAGAAGAAGAAGAAGAAGAAGAAGAAGAAGAAGAAGAAGAAGAAGAAGAAGAAGAAGACACAATCAGATACTGAGGGGGATTTTATTTATTTATTTTTTTTAAAGGCCAATTCTTTGAAGCCCAACCAATTCAATTACCTGTCAAATCTGGACAGGACGGCCTTTCAGGCGTTTTTTTAACTTTTTTATTGTCATTATAGTATTACGGAGAACCCCGTAGCAGCCACATCCGTGCTCAAGCCTCCAACGAGGGAACATGCGGGAGCTGCACCCACCAGCAGGTGCGATACCTGCTACAGCAGGTGGGCGATACCGGCCAGGGGTCAGCAGGTAGCATCAGGACCGAGCTTCTTCAATGGGCGAGTCACTGTGCCTCCCCTCCGGTCCCCTCCCCCTATGAACATCAGCAGTCTCTGCTCAATGCCACTCGGGGGGACCAACAACATATCTTTAGGTGGCAGGTGCCAAGCTTGCCCAGGAAGGTGCATGAGGCCAATGGGGATTGAACCCAAGACCTCCTGAATGCCACTTTTGCGTGCCTTACCAAATGAGCTAGGCCGCTGGATCTGAGGGGATATTTGATAGATAGGGCAAAACCGTTTTGGTTTTCCGCACCCAAACTTTTCTGTTGGCCGCCCGACGTAAAAATGTGGTGGCTATTGGGTCCAGACCACTTGGCTTTTTCCTACTGGATTATGAACCTGGCTTTGTGTTTGTGCCAGACTCATTTCCCGGTACTCCCTTCTCGCCAAGCCAGAAAACTTCGGGCGCAAAAAACCAAAAAGGTTTTGGCGTGGGCTGGTTTGCACAAGTTATCCCCATAACAAGGGTGAGCAGCAGTAACAGAAGAAGAAGAAGAAGGGGACGGAGAAAGGGAGGAGGAGGAGGAGGATGATGATGAGGAGGAGGAGGAAGAAGAAGAAGAAGATGAAGGAGGAGGAGGAGGAGGAGGAGGAGGAGGAGGAGGAGGAGCAAGAAAAGGATAACTTCAAGAAGCAAATGGTGCTGATTGGCCGTTCGCATTTCAATAATTGACGACAATGACGAGTAATTGTGAACAGCTATGATCTCACCGGAATTTGATGCAGAACCATGAGTAGAACAAAGGGCATAGCTCAATGGGATGTAACGGCTATATGGCACTTATTCAGAATTACAATATCTGATTAATAATATCTGGTAATTGCAGAAATAGCGCGTTCTCAAAGTGTTTTTTTTCTTTTTTTTTTGGGGGGGGGGGGGGGAAGGGAGGAGGTCTCCTAAACCGTATGTGTTCATAAAAACTTCATATAGTCCGTCGACTATTCCCGTCCTTATCGAGGGAGATGCTAACAACGTTCTCGCAGCAGAAATGTTTTACAGGTCCGAAAGATCTTTTTTTTTGTTTTTCTTTAAAAGCTATGTTCTTCTCTCAATTTCAAGATCTATTTTTGCAAGCAAAGTGGGACCCCGCCTGCATTTTTTTTTTTTAATGCAGTGAAACTACCGGGACGCGCTAAAGCTGCCACGAAAGATAACTTTTTGCAACAAAACTTGGGGGCCGCCAATATTTTTGCAGTGAAACACCCTGTGAAACTACCGCGACGCGCTATTTTTGAAACTTACCCCTCTCTCAATTTCACCTCACACCACCTACCTACCACTACTCCTAATTGTAAAAAAAAAAATAATAATAAAACTTACCCTAATACCCTCGGATTATCGCATTCAATTAACAGAAGAAAGAAAGGCAAGGACGGGAAGTGCCAATAAATGCCGCTGCGTCTGGCAGTCGACCAGTTCCTTACTCCAGTGCCAAATGCCATGATCCCCCCTACCTGGTCTTTTTTTTTTTTTTTTTTTTTTTTGGTCTACCCGGTCATTTGAAACAGGCGTAAGACTCAAGACTCGGTAAGAGGTTGCAGAATATTTTCCGAATGGGAGAGACCGAATGAGAAAGGTGGTGACCCATCACCAGGAAGGAGCCACAGCTTCAGATCCGATTCGGCAGTTGAAGAAATCTTCCTAGTCGGATTTTTATTCATATACATGATTGCAATTCCCGCCAAAGTCAGTACTTGATTGCGATTCCTGCCGAAGTCAGTACTTGATGGCTTTTCCCGCCAGAGTCAGTACTTGATGGCGATTCCCGCTACCCGAGCAAGTACCATTTCCACATTCAATTCGTCCATGTCGCTCTGAGCGTTCGGAATCACCCAACCTATCTTTAGCGGCCTCTCCGGCTTCCCACCCGACGGACGAGATTCGAAATGCTTCCCAATTATGGAGGGCTATGTTCGATGCACCACGCACAATTCCTTGTCTTTTTTCTTGAAGTGAAAAAGAAAACAGCTCCTCACGGCTCAACAGAATCCAACTACCTAGTCTTACAAACTGGATCAACAGCACCTTTCTTTTCTTTTTTTTTTCTCTTTTTTTTTTTTTTAAACAGCAGCTTTCTAACTTAATGGCAGCTCCATGGTAAGCCGGAGGCAAAGCGTACCCTACCCGCGCGCGCGCGCGCGCGCGCGCGAGATAGAGAGAGAGAGAGAGAGAGAGAGAGAGAGAGAGAGAGAGAGAGAGAGAGAGAGAGACGAAGGATAAAGAGCCTGGCCCGACTGCAGGTACTACAGACTGCAACGTCGCTTGGCCATAAACGGTGTTCAGCATAATATTATTATGCACTGTCGCGCCATCCAATGGCCAGAAGCACTTAGGCTATACTGACACTAGGACTTCTTTTTACGAGGCTCGCGACGTGATTGCGGTCAGATTCATGCAGGTATGGCCTTAATTGCAGCCACATACATCTCCAAAAAAAAAGTCCCAAGTGTGAGTGTGTCCTCACTCTCTTCAGCCAGATACATCTTCGAAAGTGCTACTGCTGTCTCAGTACCCCCCCCTCACTCTCTTTCTTTTCCTCTCTAAGAAACGACAAAGGACTCACATTTTGCACCGCTGAACAAGGATTCAAAACCTCAATAGCCACCGCTGAATGAGGATTTCCCGGATTTCAAAACCTCCTCAACAGTCTCGACAGCTCGTCGCGATCCCGCCATTTGTGGCGTTAACCAGAGTTGCCGGCGGCAATGCTCCGCAGTAAAACACGTTGGGAAAGTTGGGGTCGCCGCTGACGACTAGAAGATACACGTTGTTTGACGTGGCGGGTTTCGCCTTGTTGCCCGAGTAGGAGTTACCTCGGCAGATGGTGAGGACCCCCTGGTCATCGCCGAAAAAGCGGAATGCGCCGCCGAAAGATCCCGCCACATTCTTGATGAACTTGTTGTCCGACACCGTCGACAATCCGCGGCTGAAGTATATGGCGCCACCTTGTTGGCGCGCTCTGTTACTGCGGAACGTGGACTTCCGGACCCGGATCCCGATTTGCTGTCGGAAGGCCAAGGCGCCGCCGTCCGCCGCGGAATTGCCGTCGAACACGCAGTCTTCGATGCGCCCGAAGTCGTCGGTGAAAGTGTAGATGGCGCCGCCCTGTCGCGACGCGCGATTGCGAACGAACTGCGACCGTCGGATTGTCAGACCGGTGTCGGAGAAGTCGAGCGCGCCGCCATTCCCGCTGGTGGCGCGGTTGTTGCGGAAAATGCACTGGTCGACGACAGCGTTGGCCCCGCTGGCGGAGAGCGCGCCGCCACTAGCGGAGCGGAAGTTTCGGAACTCCAGGTTGACGAGCTTGATGTCCGCCTCCGTGACAATTCCCGCGAACTTTGAGCTCCCGTCGATGACAACAGGCCGGCTTGGCTTGGGGCCTTTGCCGACCAGCGTCAGTGCTCTGTCGATGGCAGGGAGGGAGGCCTTGAGAGCGATGTCGGCCTTCACCTCGTGATAAGACACGTTGGGGTTGTTGTACGCAGCGAGGAAATCGGCCAAACCATAAGCATCGACGGACATGGCATGGTGTTGAAGGAGGAGGACGACGACCATAGCCACCAGGAACGTAGAGGTGGAGAACAGGCCCCGCCTCCCGCCGCCGCCGCCGCCGCCACACGAAAAAGCCGCCATAGCTGCCCGACGCCGCAACCTCCTCCTCTCTCGGGAATCTCTCTTCTTCAATTCCAAGCGTCTCTCTCAAGCGTCCCAGCTCCAGCTAGCTAGTCGAACGAAGGGGAACGGAAGAACGCTCTATCGCTCCCACCCCCCCACTATTGCTGTCGGCACTTGAGGCGTCCTCAGGTAACCAACGTGAAAGCCGTTCGCGATAGCGATCACGAACCGGGCTCAACCCCTCGGTGTGCGATCTGTGCTTCTTCTCAGTCAGTGCCACTCCGAGTGTCACTATAAAGGTGATGGGCCATACCCTGAGTCCCTTTTCGAGTTTGCATAATGACGGATTGCCGTCACTCCCGCCTTTTTTTCGTTCATGGATCCGATACTGCACACGGATTGTTTTTTTTTTTTTTTTTTTTTTTTTGTCAGTCTAGTGGTACAGTTGATGTTTTCAGCCGATGGCCGAATTGACTGGCAAACGTTTTTACTTTTTGTTTTTTGCTTTCTTTCGAGAAGAGCGACGGGCTTGAGATGTCAACTAAATTAAAAAAAAAAAAGAAAAAAAAAAGAAGATGTCAACTAAAATCCCCATTACCATACCAATCCATATCCCCACTAGCAACGGGGATTGGATTAAAATACTGAATCTGGGCGTGTCTTAGGCAGAGATGCAGAAAAGGAGTTTAATCTCGATTTTCTGCACTTGTCCACAAACGCGACCAAATTAAGGCGTTCAATCCAATCGTCGTTGCTAGGGAGGAAACGGATCAGGAAATAAATCTGGAGATCTCAAGTAGAGAGTTCACAGACTCTTTTTTTGTTTTGTTTTGTTTTTTTAACAACACTATGTTCTTCTCTCAAATTCTTTTGTCGCCTTTCACTACCTTCCTACCACTACTCCTAAGACTATATAGAGGGGACCCCTGCAAGCATAGGGCCTCGCAAACGAGGTAATTCATGTTGCCCCCCGCCCCAACAGCGGTAGTCAGAGATGGGGTGGGGCCGCCGGTGGGGGTCCGGAGAATGCAAAGACCGAGCATTTTGCCAGTAGCTGCGCCTCCCTTTCTCATCGGCCCCCACCCCCCACCCCTCATAGCGTAGCAGCAGAGGCTATGGCCAACACTTTCCCACACACCACACACAACCCACTCGCCCACACACTCACACCCGTGCTGGTCATAGACCCCACAAATACCGATCAGGGGTATCCAGAGGACTATCACAGTCCATTGCCATGGGGCTTGAACCCACAACCTCCTGAATGCAACTTGCATGCCTAACCAACTGAGCTAGGCCGCTGGATGAGTTGACAGACTCTTGGAAAAAAAAAGGAAAAAAAAGATGTCAACCCAAACCTTTCCAATCAGGTTTTTTTTTTTTTTTTGGGGGGGGGGGGGG